CAGTCTTGAATGTCTGATCTTTTTACTTCACTAACTGTCTAGGAGAGTAGTAACTGGTTTTCCAAATTTAAATTTCAGAGCATGAAAGCTCCAAGATAACCTGTTAACTATGCAACTAACTTACATGACTATGTAAACAGCAACATTGCATGACACTGTATGACTCTTTTGCCCATGTCATTGGCATTTTATAAGCTAGATACTAGAATCATGCATTGCCCTTAAGTTACATGTAGTCTACTGGTGATTTATTTATTCTTTTTGTTGTTTTTTTTGTTTTTTCCAGGGAAGTGGTCCAAAATGTCTCAGGTAAGCTTTAATTATTTTCACTGTTTCGTCAAAAATTCAGTAATAATCATTGCTGAGCAATAATTGCTCAACAATGATTATTACTCTTGCCAGTGATTATTGTTGGCAAGAGAGTTACTGTGAGATATGGAGAATGAAGGTACCTAGCTACATTCATGGACAAAAGTGTTGACACATTTGAGCAAAACAAACACTTTCTATTAGCGTCCTTACGTAATTTCAAAAAAGCATCTTTTTTGTTGATAGCCAACCCCCCCTCTCCCCCTTTTCAATGTTGAAATACACCCCGTGGACACTGTCAGGTGGTTACAACATTGAAAAGGGGGGAGGGGCCGCATGGCGAAAATTGGACGCGTTCAACGAAACAGGTCTTTTTTGGGGAGTGTCTCAACTGCTTTTGTCCATGATTGTAGGTTCAAAGCTTAGACACCCTTAGCTCTACATCTGGACCTGGAGTACATTAACCGTAAAATCTATGCTAATCTTGCATTGATTTCCACATTACATGTTAGTAGTATACATGTAAGTAAATGTTAGGAAAATATATTATAATTAATTATTAATAATTTTTTTTGATTAGCACTATTCTGTTGGAATAATTTATTTCAGGATTGTTGTATCATCAAATGATACTACAACAATCCTGAAATAAATTATTCTCACCAACAGAATAAATTTTATGAATGATAAATCTTTTTTTTTGCATTCTATGTGACATATAGGTGCTGCTATCAGCAGGGTTATCTCTGGTGTTCACAGAGAAGAATTTGGTTGATCTTGTTTGGGAAGATCACAGTCGACCTGACCCACCCATGGCAGGGCTCATGGTGATGGACATTTCTTTTACTGGTTAGTGCTGCTGTCAAAAACAAAGTACAGTAAGGTGTACTTCTACTAACGACCACTTCTCTATAACAGTCACCTCTGTGCAAGGGTCACCTCTCTATTGTGGCCTCCTCTTAACAACAGCCATCTTTCTACAATGGTCGCCTCTCTACAAGGGCAAATATGTCCAGGATTGAACGTTAATGAGATTCAAATTCCTTATGATAAGCATCACAAAGTGTCATTGAGAAAAAGTCACCAAAACACACACACACAATTCTGTCAAATATGAANTCAAAAACAAAGTACAGTAAGGTGTACTTCTACTAACGACCACTTCTCTATAACAGTCACCTCTGTGCAACGGTCACCTCTCTATTGTGGCCTCCTCTTAACAACAGCCATCTTTCTACAATGGTCACCTCTCTACAAGGGCAAATATGTCCAGGATTGAACGTTAATGAGATTCAAATTCCTTATGATAAGCGTCACAAAGTGTCATTGGGAAAAAGTCACCAAAACACACACACACAATTCTGTCAAATATGAAGTAAACTGATAATGTCAAATAACCCTGCCAAATATGAAGTAATAATTAAACAATACTTGCCTTCAATCCTGGACATAAGTGGACAAGGGCCACCTCTGTACAACGGCCACCTCTCTGCAAAAGCCACATTAGTTTGTCCCAGCAAACAGTCTATACAATCCTGTATATTTACTCTTGTTTTAACTTCTCTACAACGACCACCTCTCCACAATGGCAACGGCCAATAAAGCACATCCCAACTGCCAAAATAACTTCTTGACAATGGCCAGTTAAAAAGACAGGTATCATATTATACTCCTACCTGTACCTTCCCATAGCGGCCACCTCTCTGCAATGGCTACTTTCCTCTATCCCCAAGGTGGCTGTTGTAGAGAGGTCGACACTACCTCGGTACACAAATTCCTCCTTACTGTAGATTACATGTACCTCTATCCTTGGGCTTATGATCAGTACATAGTGAAGGCACTTTAGATTAAGAAGTCCAGATTTGAGCC